TTCATTTTTCATGCAGGTTTTGCTGCTTATTATATTTCTGCTGATGACCTTCAAAACGTTCTTTTTGTTACAGTAAGTGACGCTCAGTGAGGTTTTGAAAGCAATGCTTAAATATAGCATATTTTGTTACTATCAGTGTAGTTTAGCAGGAACAGAGTTTATGAAAGAGCACAAATGCATCTTCTAACATTGTTTAACATTTAAATATAAGCTGTTGAGAAAGGAAACAGAGCCGAATTTGTGTTGGGTAAACATGTCTATTGTCAATACAACCCCTACTGTGAGACTTCATATTGATTCATATAACATGGAGTGTGAGTGGGGAGATTTTGGGGTGCGTGGGTCACATGAATTGCGGTGCAGGGGCAGATGGTGACAAATGGACATTCATCCCCCCTGTCTCTGTCCTCTAGAGGAACTCCCCAGGGGAAAAATGCACTGGAGGCGGGAAGCAGAAGCGAAGCCATTGTGAAGGGGAAGCTGTCAGGCACTTCCTGTTATGAGAGGAAATGCATACAAATGTGCTTCCTGACCTCCCCCCTCCGACTCCCCCTCACACACACACACACCGAACTCAGGCTAGGAATCTGACCTTTTTTCTCCTTTCTCCCTTTCATTCTTTCTGTTTGGCAGTAGAAAGTGATTCTCAGTCGTTTGAACAACAGTTCAGACTCTCCTCACCATTATGTGCGCAATGGCGCATTTAAGTCTACATACTCGGCAGTTAGTTTGTCATGCATGACACGGTTGTGCTCACATGATAAGGGTTTCACACTCCTGTGGTCTACAGGTTCAGGGTTCGAAGAAACAAAATCACAATCGTTATGAACCATGGTCCATCACTTTTTGCAGCTCTCACCACATTGAGGAGGTGTTGTAACTGGCATTTTCTGCAATTAGCACGCTGGCTCGCTGAAGGCTCATGTGCTTCACAGATAACAAGGAATGAGATTGTGGAGGCAAGTAGCGAGCAAGAGAAGCGGGACAACATCACTTAAGGCCCTTGTGACCAAATTACTTCAGCATGTTTCATATACAGGTGCATCTCAATAAATTAGAATGTCGTGGAAAAGTTCATTTATTTCAGTAATTCAACTCAAATTGTGAAACTCGTGTATTAAATAAATTCAATGCACACAGACTGAAGTAGTTTAAGTCTTTGGTTCTTTTAATTGTGATGATTTTGGAATGAACTTTTCCACAACATTCTAATTTATTGAGATGCACCTGTATGGTGAACTTTGTACCAAACCACTGGTTTTGGAGACAATGAGCTTGGGAAATCATTTGCTTTGAGTGACCTAACTATTACAAAGTTATTTTCATCATCTGATAAGATAAGTAATGTTCAGCTAATATTCAGTCATCTGATCTCCCACAGTGAGGTGACTCTCTTCATGTTAAATAAGCAGCTTTTATTAGTCTACTGTATTTATCTGATTTGAGTATTTATCTCATGTTGAGTGGACATGACTTTAAACAGATTTCCCACTCATATTTTAGGGTTAAAACCTAATAGTAAAAAAAAGCATTCTTTCATCATTTTCTCACCCTCATCTGACTTTGTTTCTTCGGCGAAACACAAAAGAAGATATTTTGAAGAATCTTGTTAACTGAAAAGTTTTGACTGACAATTTTGACTTCTATTGTCAAAATATCAGAGATATCTTTCATAGAAGAAAGTAAGTGAGATGATGGTGATGACATGAAGGCGAGTAAAAGATAACATAATTTTCTTTTTTGGGTTGAGTATCCATTTAAGATCTAACACCTTTAACTTAAATAGGAATATACTTGTGTAAATGAATAGCAAAGTGAAATTATAAGGAAACTTTATGGATTTTATGGACATCAAAAGAATATAATTGACATTGCAAAAAGCCTATGATGAAGGATTTGTGAAGTATCTTTAGTATGTGGTGTTAGTGTTTGACTGTGGGTGTTGAAGTCACTGGCCACAGTTGTTAGCTTGACCACAGTGATTATTTTAAGTCTTTATATCTCCATATCTAAGTATGTGTCATACTACTTCCTCTTTCTGAGAACTGCTTCAGATTGCTACGTTTATTTTGGATGTGCGAATTAATGACTGACTTTATTATTTGTTATTCAAATAATCCAAAATTCAAAGTTTGTTCATCAAACACACTGTTCAGCGTTTTCTTTTCTCAACCTGCTGTCATACTGGAGGTCAAATATATCAAATGACAGATTTTTGACTTATTCTTTTTGCATCTTGTCACACTTGCCAAATCTCCAGAAGCCTCAAGAAGAAACCTCTCAGAACTGCAAAGCCACACTATAGAGGCTTTCTCAGGAAGCTCGAAACTCACATTGTGGCTTTATCTTGCAGATAAGGGTGCTGTCAAAACATCACTTGTGTTATTTAAGTGCCTGTTCAACTTGTCAAAATGATCTTGTCAAAATTATACATAATCAATGCATCATAACTTCTCTCATAAATTATTAGAAATATGATGATAGAGGATGACCAGCAGGATGAGAATCACTACTATAACTTTTGTAACTATAATCTCTGAAGGTAAGTTAGGTTACTTATCATAACACTTTCATTGTACTGAAAGAGAGCAAAGAACATTTACATTATCAAAGAACAGGTTCACTGACAGTCTAGAGCTCAAGCACTCTCAAAAACTCCCATTAAAATCACTGAAGCTGTTTACATTGTGAAATGAATATCTTACTTACAGATTCATACACACGTCTGCAGTTTGTTGTTTCTGACGAGAGAATTCGCCAGAAAGGTAGCGAGTGAAAACACCAGCATTTTAGCGATTACTCATCTGAACGCCTCTGATTGGTCATTGCATTCATAAGCTCAACAGCATCGTGTGTGATTGGTTATAATGCGCAGCGCTGTAAAAACGTGTCGACGCGTTTGACTCTGGCTCAGCGCCAGCCAGCGAACTTAGATTTGAATTTAGCAGCTGATGATATGAGGTGCTGAACGATTTAATCATGCTGGTGTGATTGTATCAAATACAGAAAATATTATTCGGCTATTTTTTGTCTTTTGGAAGATGCATTCAATATCCACTTGGCTCAAAAATACTTTGAATGGGCATGATGCCTCTGACTCCAGTTCAAGTACACAAACTATAAAAAGTGGTGACTGGACATTATTTTGTTTAAGGGGATAGTTCACCCAAAAATTTACTCACCATCATATTGCACCAAACCTGGATGACTTTCTTTATTCTGTGGGGTGCAAACAATTTATTTATTTATTTAGGACCCCACTGACTTTCATTATATGGACAAAAATGTTCTTGAAATAACTTTTTAGTGCTCTGCGGGTGAAAGAAAATCAAATAAGTTTGGAACGACATGAGGGTGAATATATGAATTTTCATTTTTGAGAGAACTATGTTTAGATTACCTGACAATGTACACTATAAACTGTTTCTATTTTTCATAAGGCTACACAAGTTTAATTTAGACTGTACCCATATTTTTAAATTAAAACTCAAGTTTTTTAAACAAAAACGTCCCAGGTTACGTATGTAACCATGGTTCCCCGAGGGAACGAGACGCTGCGTCGGAAAACGCTAGGGGAACGCCTTCAGCGATACCAAGCTCTGAATCATATGTGTAATCAGTCGAACGATGGGCGAGACGTCAGCGGCGGGTGACGTCATGACCAGGAAGCTTTAAAAGCACGTGCTAGCGTTTTCCGACGCAGCTCGAGTTCCCGAAGGGGAACTACATCTCTTATGTAACTAGGACGCATTCTTAATTTGTTTTTTTTTTCATTTAACATACCAGCTAAATAGTTTCACCATGACAACGTGAGAAACAAATTAGCAGCATCAAGAATGTAATACCTTATGCTAATACGTGCTAATTCTCTTGCTGATTATCAAGAGAATAATGTTATATTTTGTAATATAATGCACTTTCATTACGCAGTAAATAAAGAGATATAGATTGCTGTGAACATGTATCACAATAACAGGTGCATGGGGACATTTTGGCTACATTTAAAAGAGATGAAGAGTTTAGTGGTTTGGCCTCAAGGTTCCTCCTTTGTCATGAGCTGGTCTCTGTGTGTGTGTTTGTGTGTGTGTGTGTGTGTGTGTGTGTGTGGTTTCTCCAGCACTCTTTAAGTGCTTAGGAGACATGAAACCTCTGAGGTCAGAGAGAGATGCTTCTTCTTCTTTTTTTTGTAATGCTTCAAATTTAGATTAGAACATGCACTGAGAAGTCATTAACAGCCTCTCAGACACTCTGTGGCAGCGATGATCTTTGTGCGTGAGTGAGTGTGTGCATGTGTTTGTATGTCTGTGCATCTGCTGAAAAGTGCATTTGCACACAGATGTACACGAGGAGAATTTGTCTCCCGTGCAATACAGACAATCTTTCTTTTTTCCCCCAGTTTGCTTAAGGTGTATATGGTTAACCTTTATCATGGAATAAAATCCTAATTATACAGTTGATCTTTTGTATTAGAGGGGCCAGATAAAGTTAGTGTTACTGTATTATTCTTCATTATTATTCTGTATTAATAATACTGTATTATTATTATTATTATGAAAGGTTAGTGCATGATTTTGGAGCACATAGGTTATATTTCGATTATTAAAACTATTTTCTACTTATGAATGCAAGAATAAAAGCAAAAATGAAATAAGCATAATACTTTTGGTTAAAGAACAGAATTTTTAAGAGAGCTTCAGATGATTTATGAGAGGAAAGAGCTATTACGCTATTGTCTGTTTTTCCAGATAATTTGGAAGAGCGCAAAGGAAAATAAAGGAATGCAGACAGAAGGAAAGAAAAGTAACATTGATTTTTCCGAAGAAACACTGTATTTAGGACAACTCGGGAGTCAGGAATATTTAAGAGCATCAACGCGATGAGCAAACACACATAGAGTCATCCATCTCGTTTTTATGCCACCAGCCAATGCTTTGTGCAATGCCGTCAGTACAGCCTGTGACTTGTCTAACCGTTTTTCCCTCTTCTGTATCTCTCTCTAGGTGACGTTTACAAAGAGAAAGTTTGGCCTGATGAAGAAAGCCTATGAGCTGAGCGTGTTGTGTGACTGTGAGATTGCCCTCATCATCTTCAACAGTACCAACAAGCTGTTCCAGTATGCCAGCACAGATATGGACAAAGTGTTGCTCAAATACACTGAGTACAATGAGCCACATGAGAGCAGGACCAACTCCGACATTGTGGAGGTGAGATTCTCAGATCTACACACACTTACCTGACATTCTCACACTGTCAGCAGGTCGTTATTATTAAGATTCTTTTTTTCTTTTGTTTTTTAATACACTTCTGTTCAAATGTTTGGGGTCAGTCAGTTGATTTTGAAAAATGTTTTTGAAAGAAGTCTCTTATGATTTATTTATCTTGTGATAATGATTAAAAGTATAAATTTATTTAAAATAAAAAATGTATTAAAAACAAATCTTACTGACCTCAAATGTTTTAACAATAGTGTTTTCTTTTTTTCTTTCTTTTATTTATTTATTTTTAATGATTTTTTTTTTTTTTTTTCAATTTTTATGACATGTCTGACAAATTGAATGAACATTAATTATTGACCTGATAAACATTATGTAATTTAGTGGCTGTTTGAAATGAAACTAATGACAAAGTGTTATATAGGAAATGTCGATTTTTATATCGGGGCTGGTTGAAAGTCTTGACAGGTGTTTTATGTGTCATCATGTTTCAATAGACTAAATGTATAATTAAAATGTGATTTTGACTAGGTTTCTTTGTGCATAGTGCCATTGCACTCTTATTTTTTTATTTGTCCATGGAGACACTCTATAGACACAAACCCAAATGACAAACAGTTTTTGGAGTCTGATGGACTATAGATCATGCAGCACCCCTCTGATTATAATTATAAATAAGTACACTAACTGACATCCAGTATCAGGCTATATTTCATTTCACTCTGTTCTTTTTGAATGCCAGCTACTTTGATGTCTGCATTTTCTCAATCAGCTTAATGCTCCTAAAGTCTCTCAGGCCTTAGAGACATGTTGTCCGTGGGTATCTGCCATAAACCTGAGGGCCTGGCCACACTAAGCTATTGTAGTTGTCTTGAGGCAAACATCCAAATTCGCATTACAGAGTGAGCTGGTTACGTAATCTACTTTTCTGAGATGTCACAACACATCTTAAAAAGCAAAGGTGACATACGTGGGTTGACAAGGTGGTCCTCTGAAGGACTTAAGGGCTCTAAGACTGTGTCCTCTTGCCATGCGCAACAACATACGAGCAGGTCCACATCTACAAACAAAGTTAATATCCCAAGATCTATGGGGGAGTTTGTGAAGTGGGTTGATCTCTATTTAAGTGCAATCCAACTCCTTTGCTCGTAGAGTCAGACAGACAAAACATGTTTTTCTGTCTACTTCCTTTTTTTATTCTGACATATTGTCACAAGTCACATTCCTGCCCACTCTGTGTTCCATCTTCATTTCCGCTGTGTGTACACTTAATTTGCTTGATAACTCTGCAGCTTGATAGTTTTGTTTTATTTATTTACGTGTTCAGTAAGTATATTTCCATCTGCATATATCTCATAAAGCCAGTGTGGCATTTATAATTTATAGTAGTGCGGTCAAACGATTAATCACATCCAAAATAAAAGTTTTTGTTTACATAATATATGTGTGTGTACTGTGTATATTTATTATGTATATATAAAGACACACACATACAGCATATATTTTGAAAATATTTTCATGTATTTACATGTATATATTTATATTCATATGAATCATATCATATATAAATACATTTAATATATAAACGTAACACATTTTTCTTAAATATATACATGCATGTGTGTGTATTTATATATACATAATAAATATACACAGTACACACACATATATTATGTAAACAAAAACTTTTATTTTGGATGCGATTAATCACGATTAATCGTTTGACAGCACTAATTTATATATGTGTTTTATATTAATTTTTATGTGCTAGGAAATGGGTTTTCATAAATTCAGTGATCATCTGTCATTTTTGCCTCTTCTACAAGCTCAAACCTTGAGGCAGATTTAAAGGGCAGATAGAAAGTGCTTGTTATTCCTGCAGTGCATCAAGGCACAATTACAAAAATGCACTCCAAGCATGAGCAGCTGTGCGTTCCACTTGAGAAAACACTCAAGTAGATGTACAGTGCTAGATGTATTGTGATTTATTCTTAGAATATTTATTAGAGATGTACCGATGTATAATCGGTATCGGACGACAAAAGCAATTTATTTCACAATCGGCCATCTTTACATAATATCCTAATGATTTTTGGCATAAAAGAAAAATCTATAATTCTGACCCATACAATGTATTTTTGGCTATTGCTAGAAATATACCTGTGCTACTTATGACTGGTTTTGTGATCCAGGGTCACATATATTATATAAATTATAATTTAAAAAATAAATATCAGGAAAATGCACTGCTATGTAACTCCATGAAAGCTATAAATTCCTAAAAGTTCTGTCAGGACCACTATCGTCAAAGATGATTGACAATTAGCATACAGTTTGGATTGGCGGTATGGTTCTGTTCTGGGCAAGAACTCCCTGCGCATCCATGCAGCCTAGCATGGATGAGAGCAGGGAGAGCAGCAATAACAGGGTAAACAGAACAGAACCAACAAATGCATTGCAGATATCGTTAAAGTTCAATAATATTAT